AAAGCAGTGGGGAGAGCACATAGACTCTTCCCGACGCCATGGGATCTGTAAGAGACTTGTATAATAAAGGTTCCAAACACCAGAGAGTTAGAGTGCCTGACATATAACCAATCTAGCCAATTAATACATATATATATAACTAAAGAACACAAAATACACAATAACAATTCAAAAAACAACAAAGGCGGAGGCTAATGTCCCATAACAGGACCACAGATAGGTCCCCGCCAAATAGAAATCAACTAGTAGTCAGCAGGGTCCTCAAGGGACCTGACGTGGAGTAGCACGTTTCTTCTTCCTGGGATAGGGGGACCACAGAGGCAAAAGTGGGGGAGGAGGGCTGTCAGCTTTGGATTGGTTCCGTGGGGAGGGGGCTAAGGGAAATAAAGCCCAAGTTCACCAAAAGTTTCTCTCCTTCAGAGAATGTAGAAAAGGCGTAGCATTTGCCATTGTAAATAATTTGCAGGCGAAATGGATAGTTCCATCGATAACGAATGTCCCTTTGAATTAAAGGTGAAAGCAACGGTTTGAATGCCCTCCATTTCTGTATAGTAGCTTGAGAAATAACTTCAAAGACTTGAATCTTGTACCCATCGATTTCCAACTCTGGATGTTCCCTGGTGTATCGCATCACCGCCTCCTTAATTCTGAAAGAAATTAGATTTAACTATTACGTCCCGAGGGGGCCCATCTGGTTTTAAGGGGACCAGAGCTCTATGGATATGATCTATTTCCATGTGGATTTGTTGGCATCCGCACTGCTGTTAGTATAAGGGAATGGGCAACTGAGGCAATATCTTTGACCGTTTCCGGTAGGCCTCTAATCCGTACATTATCCTGGCAAGCGCGGTTCTCAAGATTATCCATTTTCGAATAAGCTTCGTCCAGGCGGTCTTGTAGGTCAGCAATCCTGTTAGAATTCTGAGCCACTCTGTGAACTGTATCATCAACTTTAGATTCAATGTTCTCCAGGCGATTTCTGATCTCCCTGAAATCCTGCTTTAGATCAGAGGCCAGTTTAGTGGTAGCTTTTTCCAATTCTCTCTGATGTAAATCAGCAAAACGAGCAATAAGAACGGAGTCCCCTGAGTAGGGCGGGTGCACAAATGGATAAGCAGGAGAGTCCGCAGGACCGTCAGGAGCTGAATAATGACCGCTAATTTGGCTGGTGAATATGTCAGCCATTTTCCTGTCTAGCAGGGAAGAGCCATGGAGTCGTGGCCTAGTGACAGGGCCGCAGCCTGAGGAGTAGACCTGGTAGGGCTAGAGGGGGCAGAATGGACACTCACGTGAGCCAGGGGAGCTGTCACTGTATGTCCCAGGACTGGAGGAGAGGAGTTGGGCCACCTGTGGAGGAGGCTGCATCCCCTCTGCTGCTGAAGAGCTCCAGGAGCTGGTGCTGCTGGCCGCCATCTTGCCGCCCCCTCCCTTCCTCATCGTGGCAGTGCGGGAGCTGCCCACAGATTTCACCGCCAGTTTTTTCCAGTGGATTTACCAGTCGGTTGTTCTCCAATGTCCAATATACAAGCACCCATTTTGGTTTGTACCACAGTACCATACATTGAGTCCTAATGATTGACTCAGCATATTTTGGATATAATCTGAACAATGGACTGAGGGGGGGGAAACATCTATTTAGCAGCTGCATATTTTTATTGGGTGGCCACTTTTAAAATTATTCTTACTCTTTATGCCTGTCCTTTTCATTCTGAGAGCTCTCAGTCTTATTGATATAACATGAATATGTAATGAAACAGTCATATAGATGTTACGTGGTCCAATAGATTTATGGACATGACCTTTGACCCATAAATTCTTTTAAATGGGTTTATGTATGTGTGTAACTTGTCTTGTTTCTTATTTTTAACAGAGCAGGTGAGTATAACAGGTTTGTTATTTTAATTACATTTTTTTTTTTACTTTAGTAAACACTTTAAGGCAGTAACTTTAAAGCTAAACTCCAACATTTCAGTCACTTTGGAAAATGTTCTCAATTACTAGGGGTTAAGGCCAATGTGCACGCCACCTCGTGATATTTTTACAGAGCGCCAGGAGCATATCGCTATATAGTCGCGTGCAACAACTGTGCCCTCCCCTCTTCCTGCCGAATCACAAACTACTACAAAGGCTCCTGTGAATGGGCAGCAGGGGAAAGGCAGGCATAGATGCTGTGTGCGAGAAGGCAGCTTCTCTCCCCTCTCCTGTTAAAACTCTGGAAGCATAGTGAAAACTGTCAGATGTAACTTAAAGAGACACGTCCACAAAGTGGCATGTACCTCATTGGACGTAACTCAGTATACCAGCACCGTTTACAGATTGGCAGAATTTCTGGAGTTCAGGTTAAAAAGAGAACGTATAAGGACAGAAATATAGGAGCTGCTACTACCAATTGGAATCTCTGAAAATATTTGCACTCTAGGGTTTTTATACATATCCTATGTATCAATATTTGGTAAATTAAAGCCTAACTCCTAAATTTCCCTTGTAGTTGGACTGCCCCTGCACTCCAAGGAATAAATACTCATTTAGGTCTAGGGGACAGAAAAGCAGTTTTATGTACTTTATCCCTGCTCTTCTGGCAGGCAGCACTCCCCTTCCTACTGACAGTGCAGTTCTCCTCGGCGTCAAAAAGTGCAACTCTTACTGGCGTGAAAAGAACTATGGTACAGCTGGGCAGGTTAGCCACATAAGGTTCGGCTGTTGCTTGAGTTAAGAGGCAAGGTAATGCATATGTCGTGCCTCTGTCTGTTGGGGAAGCTACAACAGCAATAGATATCACTTCCACAAAAGACAATTATGTTGTGAATAATGGATGTGAAGATAACTGTCCATCTATAGGCAGGCGAAACAAAAGGTGTTGGGCTACCTAAGAATAGCTAGGTAAAAATGAGAGATGCTTTTGTGAATCGGTACTCTTCAATGACAAGAACACCAGAGGTGCTCACTTATATATACAACATGCCCTATTCTGGATGTTTTCTGTTAAACTGGGAGATGAACCAATGTGTCTGAGTCATGACAGACACTGCTGGTTGAGGTTGTCATGGAGGAAGTAATCTGACAGTTTCCTCTTATTTCTCCTGTAATCCAGGAATGTCTGCAGTACACTTCTCTAATCTCTCATATGCTAAAATCACATAGACACATGATGTGTCTAGGCGTGTCTACAGAAGCATGCCCGACTGCCCTCTGATGCTTAGGGTAGCAGTAGCAATTCTGTATATTTTTGAACTTATAGCATGGTCAAAAGTTTGGCAACAGTGAAAAAAACAAATAAGCAAAGTTGGGTATTGGCATAGCCTTCCCATTTTTCTTTTGTACTCACCCACAGACAAACGTGAATACAGCTATTATATAAAAGCTCTCCCCCCCCCCCTTTCATTAAATCTGGTTAGGTATTTATCTATGAAAAAAAAAAAACAGTACCACACTACCCTTCACATTTGAATACTGTCTCGAAGGTGATTGGGACAGTACTGTCAGCAAATCAGGCTTTGCTGCATTACATAGTGTTGTGAATTTAGCAAACTGTTCTTGCTGATTGAAGGAGAGATCACAGAGATGTGTATTCAAATATAGCCTTGACCACGCTGTACCTCTTTGACTACAGTTAAAAACAGAGTGACATCTGTGTACAGTATCTGGCTGCAGTGTCTAAATATAAAAAAAAAAAAAAAGGCTGAACAGAATTATACATTTTTTGGCAGGTAAGATACACACATTCATTTTACCTGTGCATTTAACAGTTTGGTTGCACTTATACTTTAACTACTTCACTTAGAACCCCAAACATTATATATTTTTGAAGTAGAGGCCCTAGAGAATAAAATGGTGGGTTTTGCAATTTTTATATGTCACATGGTTTTGTGCTATTTTTATGCAATTTTTTGGGAATTACACTAATGAATTTTAGTGCAAACACAGTATAATACACATTTTTTGGTAAAATATAAAAGATGATGTAACGCCGAGTAAATAGATACCCAACATGTGATTGTTTAAAACTGCGTACATCCGAGAAACAGTGCCAAATTATGGGACCCAAAAATCTCCATAGACAACGATTTAAAATTCCTTACAAATGACCAGGTTAGAGTTACACAAGAAATCTTGTTCTAAAATTATTGCTCTCACTCTGACGTTCGCTATGATACCTCACATGTGATGTGTTCGCCTATGCGCATGAGCACAAGGAGGCAGAGGTGCTTTAAAAAAATTTATGTTATTATTTTATTTAAAACATTTTTTACACTCTCTTTTTTTTTAATCACTTTTATTGCTATCACAAGGGATTGACAAGGATTGAGCAAGGGCAGTGAAAAGTCCTCTTCACTGAGATATCTGGGGTCTATTAGACCCCATATATCTCTTCTGCCCTTAAAAACATCTGGTCAAACTGAGATCGGTTTGATCAGATGCTTTCAAATGAGTAATGGCTTGTTTACATCCAAGTGACAAAACACTTATTGCTACCGTTTTCTTAGACCATCGAGATTGATTGGGGATGTTCCGGTCCTCAGTCAGCTCTATGGTAAGCTGGCAGAACTGCTGGCTTCAGTCCTGGGTTCCCTGGTGGTAAAGGCAGCCGGAAGGTGGGGACCCCCTCCCGACATACGTAAAAGCAATCCAGCGGCTATTTAGCAGCTAGGATTGCTTTTACATTAAAGAGCATCGCCAGCAGAAAAAAGAAAAAGGATACCGGGATGATGCCTGCAGGCATCACCACTGAAAGTCCAGGACATCATATGACATCCAACGGGCGGGAAGTGGTTAAGGAAAATGGTTCAAGAACTTTGGACTTTTCACAACCTCTTCTGGCTATATACAAGAGTCTATTGTACAAGGTACGCTACAGAATAAACATGCAACGTGGTAGATAAAATGTGAAACTAACATTCACATTGCATTGTATCAGAGTATGTTATGAGATAACAACAAAGCCAACCAAACCTTTGTCAGCAGAGTTATTGCACAGACATAAAAATACAGTCACGCCTTACCCAGTGTTAGGAGAAAATGAAGAGTCAAAGGTCAACTTCAGTCCTTTTGCAAGCTGAACAGAAAAGAAATAGGCCAGTTGCATTTACATCAGTCACAGAAAGATTGGCAATGTGAATGTAATTTAGACATCTGGCAAAATCTATACTCAAGCTTACTTGGTCTTCTACTGTGATCTCTGTGCCGAGCGTGTTATCTGTGTTCCACTTCTCTGTGAATGTCAGACCATATTCTGACCATTTGTACTTTGTTTCCAAGCTTCCAGTGACTTTACTGGTCTCGGCATTTGCTGATCCGGAACTTGTGAATTCCTGAAAATCCATAAAGAAAATGCTGTTACAGTGAGATAAAGAACATGTCAAGGTACTCAGACACATTACAACTGGATCATCCACATGTAGACCTTAAGTAAAAAAACACTCCACCACTAAATGCAACATCCTACCCACCACACTGCCTTACTTAGGCAAATGTTGCCCCAGGATCAGATAATGTTTGGTGACGTGAGCAAATGTCAAAGTGTTTGGTATATGATCTCTAAAGAAAGAATAAGGATCAGCCAAAAGAAATTCTGATTTATTTCTTCATCACTGATCATGTGACTTAGTGCCTAGGCATTTTGTGACATAGCTGACTACTGTAGGGCTCCAGAGCAGGAATTTCTACATGACACCTGAATTTAAAGTGGAACTAAACCCCATGCAGTTACTTTTAAAGAAAATGTAAACCCAACGACTCTCACATTCCTGCTAGGTGTTGTGCTTGTATAAAAAAGTATCATGTTCTCTTTGTGTTGCTTCTTTTGTATGAAATCCCCAGTGTTCCTGCCAGTCCCTCTGCTTTCCTATTAAAAACTGACCACCCTAGGCATGACAGCACAGCAGGGTCAGTTCTCTAGTTGTGCTGGTTACTCAATGTGCTCTCCTCTATTGATCAGACTTTCAATGTTATGTTGTTTCTCCTCCCCTAGCAGTTATGCAGCTGAAAGCAGAAATATATATTTTTTTTATATCTATACACAAATGTTTTATCTTTTGTTTCTACTGTAAACTGAATGGGTAATTTTACAAGATTAGGGTTTACGATCACTTTAAGACATGCTGAAAATGATAACTGTCACAGCTGCTTGTTCTCTTAACTGAACTGTCAAGCCATCAAAAAGCTGGGTGTCATAACTGATTACAAGCGCAGCACCAACTATCAACTGCAGCTCAAACAGAAGCTGAGATGGCAGCTTCTTTTGGCTGTAAAGTAAAGGAGAATTTAGTTCCGCTTTTTGGCAGAAAAGAGGAATGAAGTTGGAAGCGTGCAACTAAAAATGATTCTAAAGGCTTGTTTTGTTAAAAGAAAAAATAACAAACATGTCTATACTTACCTGAGATGTGCAATGGTTTTGCACAGAGCGGCCCGGAACTTCCTATTCTTGTGTCCCCTGCCGGCATTCCTGGCCCCTCCCTCCTGTCGGGTGCCCCCATAGCAAGCAGCTTGCTATGGGGTCACCCGCTGCTCCGTGTCCATTCATACACAGAACCGTAGCTCGGCCCCACCCCGTCTCTCTTCTTATTGGCTCACTGGCAGTGATTGACAATAAGAAGAGGGAGTCCTGGGATAGCCAAGACTCCAGTGCACATCGTTGGATCGAGAGGGGCTTAGGTGAGTATAAGGAGGGGACTGGGGGGAAATGCCGCACAGATAAGGTCAAAATACCTTGAGCCTTTACAACCACTTTAAAGCTTGTTCTACAATTGCCATAGTGCTGCACAAGTGATCATTTATATAAAATGGGTAAAACGAGTGCTCGATAGAATAGTTATAAATGATAAAAAGCCGCTGGCATAAAAGGCAAAACCTCAAAGTCCTCCTTATAGAATGCTTAAACGTAAAATATGCAACGCTAAGAGTCAGACAATAAATTCTAAAATACAGTAAACATGATATACATATGCAGATGAGCAATAAGAGGCTTGGTGCGGAGACCAATGATGTGAAAATATGCTAGATATCCTGAAGACAAAGCAAAGTGTATATGGTGACAATGGTGCCAAAGTCAATCTATCCTTAGGTGTTCCAAAATGATAAGGGAAATCCGTGACAGCTGTGGTATAGAGAATGAATGTTAATTGCACTAATCAGATAGCGCAATGGAATGCGTGTTGGAGTAAATAAGACCTACTCCTGGTCATAGGATCCGAGACACTGCAGCATGAATGGTCATCAGGTCAGCAACCTCCAGGTACTCTGTGTCATCTCCAGGTATTCCGTTATTAGCCACCAGAGGGATGTTACACGCTCTCTTAAATCAGGAACCACCTCCGGTCATCAGCCACCAGGGGGATGTTGCACACTCTCATGTGTCAGGAATCACCTTGGGGGGCTCGTAGAATAAACAAACCCAGGAGAGAGGTATCCGATAGTGTAGTATTTTTTTATTTCAAAAGGTGTAATAAAAACAAGGCCTTTGAAAAAAAACGCGTTAACGGAGGTGCCCCCCCCACACAGTGACCTTAGCCCACATGGTCCCTATGTCTGACCGGCGGCCATCTTTGGAATTCTATGCAAGTTGAATACTTGTTTTTATTACACCTTTTGAAATAAAAATACTACACTATCAGATACCTCTCTCCTGGGCTTGTTTATTCTACGAGCCCCCAAGGTGATTGTTGCATGAGAGTGTGCAACATCCCCCTGGTGGCTGATGACGGGAGGTGGTTCCTGATTTAAAAGAGCGTGTAACATCCCTCTGGTGGCTAATAACGGAATACCTGGAGATGACACAGAGTACCTGGAGGTTGCTGACCTGATGACCATTCATGCTACAGTGTCTCGGATCCTATGACCAGGAGTAGGTCTTATTTACTCCAAACGCACATTCCATTGCTCTATCTGGTTAGTGCAATCAACATTCACTCTCTATACCACAGCTGTCACGGATTTCCCTTATCATTTTGGAACACCTAAGGATAGATTGACTTTGGCACCATTGTCACCATATACACTTTGCTTTGTCTTCAGGATATCTAGCATATTTTCACATCATTGGTCTCAGCACCAAGCCTCTTATTGCTCATCTGCATATGTATATCATGTTTACTGTATTTTAGAATTTATTGTCTGACTCTTAGGGCTGCATATCTTATGTTTAAGCAAGTGATCATTTATGACACCAGTCATTTGATGGTTTGACAGGTTGGTTGAGTGCACAAGCAAATGTGACAGTTAGCATTCCTGGCCTGCTGGGAATGTAACTCTTTTTTGAAAGTGGTAAATTAATGGGTTTCTTTTCCCTAAACTGTTACATTCAGTCCTGGTTCACACCAATGCGGTGTGGGAAACGCTGCGAATCCTGTGCATTTCCTGCACCGCATTGGAATCACATCACGTTCATGTGATCTGGTGCGGGTGTCAATGATAAATTAATGGCACCCCGAAAAAGATAGCAAGATGTGATGCAATTGCCAGAGATTGCATGCGATTCAGGTGCAGAAAATGTATGTATCAAATAGCACCGCACAGACATTTGCATGTAATTTGCACAGGAATGCGGTGCAATTCTTGTGCGAATTACATGTGGTGTCTCACACCGTATAGTGTGAACCCATGTTGTGAATGATAACTGTCATATTTGCTTGTGATCTTAAACCATTAATTGGCACCTGCAGATCAAACAGAGTTTAGTTCCCCTATAAGGTATACTTTAAATATACACAAAAAAAAAAGACAAAATATTCAGTAAATCTCTGCATTGCATGCATATTTGTCCTTTCTTGTCCCTTTATAAATGCTGAAAGTAAAGAGAGTGCATTTTAATCTACCTGACTGTGCTGCTACCTTTCTGTTTTTGCTGACAAAACAGTATTTTTGCTGCATTCATCCCAGCCACCATTGTTAGCCATGCTTGATGAACTACAGAACTCTACCTACCCTGACTTCTCTGTCCTACTCCACATTCATGCATTGATTTCTTTCCAAGCAAAACAGTGCTGATCACTGCACTTCCAGTTGCCCGCCAACACATTCTGTATTGGAAAAGGGTTGTTAAGGGACCTGTGTGGAGGCATGTTGGCCTATGTACATCAATAGGAATAGAGCTCCCATCAGCTGCTTTGCAAGAATTTCATAAGTCTGGTGATATCACAAAGTGTAGTAAAAGTTGTTTTTCACTAAAGAAATAAAGTAAAAAAATAATGCTTTCCCATGTCTACAGGGAGAGAGGAAGCTTTGGGATTAAATTTTGGTAATGCCTGGAATACTCTTTAAGGCTTGTGCACATGAAAACTGCAAGCTGATGCTGGCAAGAGCTTCACTCTAAACTAAACCAGTTTTAAGAAATATAAGTAATCTAAGGCTGCTTTGACACTGCCACGCTGTGGTTTTAGTGTGGGTTACCTGTGGTTTCCTATAGACTCTCTCTTATGTCCTGCATTTTTGTCTTGTTTTCTGGAAGCTCACGAAAAGTCGCGCGTGCTGCATCTTTGGTGCTTTTTCAGAAAATGCACCAAAAAAGCGTTATATAATACAAAGTCTATGGGAAACCACGGTTACACTGTGCTGCACCCACACTGCAGGCAAACCAGATCGTGGCAACAAGTAAACAGTCTAACAAACAAAATGTATTAGCCAAGGTCAAATAACTTAACACTGCAGGTCACAATGATCAATCTAATAACAGATACAGGCATCTGAAATTATATGCAAAGCTCAACATATATTAAATGGCCCCATAGGCATGGATGTTTACATAAGGTGGTGTCAGGTATAGCTGCTGATAACGGTGAAAGGCTGTATGCGGCAGGACACTTGTAAACGATAATGGCTTCTGCATTAGCCCCCTTTCACACGGGCGTTCCCTTCGTCCATGTTTCATCTATCCATTGATGGGTGAAAAAACGGACATTCCATTTTTTGGAATGGATCAAAGCCCTTTTTTGTTCCGTTAAAATAAAACAGAATAAACGAAAAACTGATGTAAATGGACAAATGATCCATTTTTGCATTTGTTATTGCATTGGTAGTGGATGTAAAAAACTGATGTTAAAACTGACGTAAGCTGATCAAAAAACAGGTGAAAATGGATGAAAACTGATCCATTTTTTCTTTGCAAAGACGTGACTGAACTGATGAAAAAAAACAGAACGTCCATGTGAAAGGACCCTTAGAGCCCATGCACACCACAAAAAAACCCTCCAAATGCATTTTTGCTTACAGCTCAAACCGCACCCCATTCCGCAGCATATTCTACTATTTTTCTGCATAAGAACATAATGAAACTGACTGCACTGATGTGAACTAGGACCACTGGAATACATGGAAAACACTGTGCATGCAATTATGATGCAGAAAAAAAAAAAAAAAAAAGCACTGGACTGCATCTGGTGTGAACCAGCCCTAAGGCTGCATTCACATTTGAGCGATTTGTAGCTTGAAACTCTAAGCTCCACAAACGCTCAAACTTAAGAAAATCATTGTTCTCTATGGTGCCTGTTCACACCTGATCGTGCGAACAGGCACCAAAAAGAACAATCGTTTTTTGAAGTTTGAGCGTTTTTGGAGCTTTGAGCTTCAAGCTACAAATCGCTCAATCGTAAATGCAGCCTTAATATCAAGCTTGATTCTGCCCTTCTCGGGCCTCCCTACTGATCCTTAATTATGATGACTGGTCTTGAAGACCACTAGGGAAACTCAAGCATATGAAGCAATTGGGCCACGATAACCAAGTACAGGGAAAAAAAAAATTAAGGTACAAGTAGCTGCCTAGATCTCGGAATCAGCTGATTGTTTCGATATGTAATTTTCATTGAAGGCAACATCTGCTTACGCAGTTTCCTACTATATTCTGTTTTAATTTGTGACAGGTTTAGGCTTACATTTTTCAAGAGACTATGATAGCAAATAACTAACAGGAATGAAATCACATGTGAACCAAGCCTGATAAGTCTATAGCACAAATAAGTTCAAGGAGAAAACATGCTACCATTTACTTTGAAACTTACCAGTCCATTTTCAGATTTTGTTTTCAAATCAAGCTTTATGAATCCAAAACCTACAAACAGGAAAACACACAGTACTTTCAGGGAAGTGATGACCAAATTTATCTAAATTAGAATAATGTCTAAAACGACTTGAAGAAGAAGAATTTAGTGCAGGATTTTTGAGGAGAACCTGAAAGATCTCTGTAACTATAGCTAAGCACAGAAGTGAGTTTTGCTCCTCAGCCTCCTGCTTATCCTTCTGCATGGCTATTCAACCTGAAGCTCCCAGAAAAACTTCCATCTACACTGGATTTTTCTACCAGGAGCTGGCAGAAAAATCTAGTGTAAAAAAATTTTTTTTTTTCAACCTGCTGCCTCAGTCACTTCTTAACTTTATCTATGGAGGGAGTCACGGTTGTCACCAAGCTGGACTTCAGACATGTCCGCCATTGCTGATCTGTATTAAGCCTGGTACACACTAAGTTTTTGTTTGTTCAACCCAGGGGGCTGAAAAAAAAAAAAAAAAAAAAAAACACTAACAGAAGCAATGTTAGTGCAGCGATCTCCCCGCTGTGCTATTGTGTTCTGACAGGGGAAAATCCCTGTGATAAGAGGAGGGGGGGGGCTTACAACCTACGGACCACTGAACTCTGCCTCACAGAGTACATTTTAGGGCTTGTTCACAGGTGCAGTGTGATAAAAGGTGTGAAATCACATTTTTCCCTACTGCACAAAAATGTGCTGCCTTTTACAGATGCACGTGGTTGCCATTATTTCTTAATGACACCTCCACACATCTAGCAAATGCATGTATGTTTGCACCTGCTAAAATGCATGGTAACATGGTACCATGTGTTTTGATGTCCCGCAATTTTTAAAAATCATGCCAGCACCCTTTTGCATGTTTCACATATATAGAGCAGCTCATTAAAAAAATGCAACCTGTGGGAAAGCACAAAAAAGCATGTGTGCTTGGATGCACCTCCTGGTGTGAACAAGCTCTCAGACTGGTTTCCCCCGGGATTGTGCGTGATTCTTAACCCCTTCACGCCGGCACCTCCCAGCCCTTTAAGGGTTTCAGAAGGCAGGGCGGGGTTTAGGGTCATGTGACCGCCGTGATTCCATGGGTACCGGACATATGTGCTGGGAGCACGCAGGGCGCGCGCTCTCTCAGCACATATGTTCTTTTTTGATAGAAAGCAAATGTGCGGCCGCTCGGCGTCTAGGCCCAGACGCTGGGAGGCCGCACATTTGCGTTCGCCCGGCATGAAGAGGTTAATGGTGCCTTGACTGAAAAAAGGCTGAAAAACACCACTTTAGAGATCTAGTTCTGATCAATTTCACTTACAGTGAGGCTCTACTCTTTGGTGGCCATTTTATAACCTAAAATCATTCACCCCTAGATGTACAAATAGCACTTACCGTATCCTTTGGTGAATACATCCCTGGCAGATTTTCCTAAATCAGCGTAAGAGGGAGGTATGGCCATTTTCTACAAAGAGAAAAATAGGAAAAATGTATTTTTGATTATAAGAATTCAAGGCCAGGTTATGAAGAGTAATGTACTAGAACAGGGATCTACAAACTACGGCCTGGGGGCCAGATGCAGCCCTTTGCTTACCCTTATCTGGCCCTTGGGGCACTTTTTCTCCCCACTGATACAAGACACTATTCCTCTCACTGACACCAACAAGGGGCATAATTCCTGCTACTGACATCAACAACAGGCGCTATTCCTCCCATTGACACCTACGATGGGGCACTATTCCTCCCATTTACACCTACAATTGGGCACTATTCCTCTCACTGAAACAAACCATGAGGCACTATTCCCACTGACACTAACAATGGGGCACTATTTCTTCAACTTACACCAAGAATAGGGCACTATTCCTCCCCCTAATGCCAAAGATGTATTGTTTACTCCCAAAGACGCAGGACAATTTCTACTCCCAATGGTCACAGTTTGGCCCCCCCTAAAGTATGAAAGCCAGTAAACTGGTCCTTTGTTTAGAAAGTTTGGAGACCCCTGTACTGGAATATAAGTCCAAAATAACACTACCGTAGACTGAGGGTTTTACACTCCTAGAAATCCTTTACAATATAATATATACTCAAACAGGATAGGTGAGACATCCTTATAACCCCTAGATGGGGGTTAGGTACTCAGAACAGTACTCAGGTAGTGAGGTGTGAGCAGTATTGTGACCTTGGGCCAGGATAATGTACCACAGCGGGTGTGTCCATAACACTCTGGGATGTACAGCTAAAAGTTTTTCAGCTTTACATAGAAGAGGGTACAGATTAAAACCCCTGGCTTCTTTTTGTTATCTGTATTTTCACTGGGATAAAGCAGATCTTCACCCTTTAGGGCATGTTGGGCTTCCCTGCCTCCTCCCACAAATGGAACACACACACCTCAGCATAAATGAGTACACCCCTTTTAAAAAGTAAGATTTTAATTAATATCTCAATGAACACAAGAACAATTCCCAGAATTTTGACAAACCTGAGTTTTATAGAACATTTCTTTAGCTCATTACATGAAAGTAAGGTTAATAATATAACTTAGATTACAAAATCTTCAGTTTTACTCATATTAGTTGATGCAAAAATTAATACACCCCACAACAAAAACTAAATACATCTAGTATTTTGTATGACCTCTATGATTTGTAAGGACAGCACGAAGTCTTCTAGGCATGGAAGGAACAAGTTGGCGACATATTGCAACCTCTTTTTCCATTCTTCAAGAACAACCTCTTTTAGAGCCTGGATGCTGCATGGAGAGTAATGCTCAACTTGTTGCTTCAGAATTCCCCATAGGTGTTCAGTTGGGTTCAGATCAGGAGACATACAGTGGGGATCAAAAGTTTGGGCACCCCAGCTAAAAATTTATATTAATGTGCATAAAGAAGCCAAGGAAAGATGGAAAAATCTCCAAAAGGCATCAAATTACAGATTAGACATTCTTATATGTCAACAAAAGTTAGATTTTATTTCCATCATTTACACTTTCAAAATAACAGAAAACAAAAAAATGGCGTCTGCAAAAGTTTGGGCACCCTGCAGAGTTAATATCTTGTATTGCCCCCTTTGGCAAGTATCACAGCTTGTAAACGCTTTTTGTAGCCAGCCAAGAGTCTTTCAATTCTTGTCTGAGGTATCTTTGCCCATTCTTCCTTACAAAAGTCTTCCAGTTCTTTGAGATTTCTGGGCTGTCTGTCACGCACTGCTCTTTTAAGGTCTATCCATAGATTTTCAATTATGTTGAGGTCAGGAGATTGTGAAGGCCATGGCAAAACCTTCAGTTTACGCCTCTTGATGTAATCCCCCGTGGATTTTGAGGTGTGTTTAGGATCATTATCCATTTGTAGAAGCCATCCTCTCTTTAACTTCAGCTTTTTCACAGATGGCATCAAGTTACCATTCAAAATTTGCTGAAATTTTATTGAATCCATTTTTCCTTCTACTCGTGAGATGTTCCCTGTGCCACTGGCTGCAACACAACCCCAAAGCATGATTGATCCAACCCCATGCTTAACAGTTGGACAGAGGTTCTTTTCATTAAATTCTGTGCCCCTTCTTCTCCAAACGTACTTTTGCTCATTCCGGCCAAAAAGTTCAATTTTAACCTTATCGGTCCACAGAACTTGTTTCCAAAATGCATCAGGCTTGTCTATATGTTCATTTGCAAAGTTCAAACGATGATTTTTGTGGTGAGGACGTAGAAGAGGTTTTCTTCTGATGACTCTTCCATGAAGACCATATTTGTACAAGTATCTCTTTATAGTGGAATAGTGTACCACAACTCCAGTGTCTGCCAGATCTTTCTGGAGGGATCGTGCAGTCAAACGTGGGTTTTGAATTGTTTTTCTCACAATCCTGCGAGCTGTTCTGTCTGATATTTTTCTTGGTCTTCCAGATCTTGCTTAAACTTCCACTGTTCCTGATGACTGCCATTTCTTAATTACATTCCGAACAGAGGATATTGACATCTGAAAACGCTTTGCTATCTTCTTATAGCCTTCTCCAGCTTTGTGAGCGTCAACTATTTACGGTTTCAGTTTTCTAGACAACTGCTTAGAAGAACCCATGGTGCTGATTGTTGGGGCAAGGTCAGATGAGTCTGGGCATTTAAAAACCTTTGAGATTGACATCACCTGGTCTTCCCAGACGATGATTGAGAACAATCCATGACACTGGCAGGTCTCAGCTTTGCAAAGGGGGCAGTGCATGCTATAAATTCTGCAGGGTGCCCAAACTTTTGCAGACACCATTTTTTTGTTTTCTGTTATTTTGAAAGTGTAAATGATGGAAATAAAATCTAACTTTTGTTGACATATTATAAGAATATCTAATCTGTAATTTGATGCCTTTTGGAGATTTTTCCATCTTTCCTTGGCTTCTTTATGCACATTAATACAAATTTTTAGCTGGGGTGCCAAACTTTCGATCCCCACTGTACTTGGCCACTGAATTAATTTCACCCTGTTCTTCTTCAAAAATGCAACAGTGGTCTTAGATGTGGTTTTGGATCATTGTCATGTTGAAAAGGTGCACAATGACCAAGGGCACAGAGTGATGGTAGCATCTTATCTTTCAATATAGAGCAGTACATCTGTGAATTCAAAATATCATCAATGAAATGCAGCTCCCCGACACCAGCAGCACTCATGCAGCCTTACAGAAGGACATTGCCACCACCATGTTTCACTGTAGGCACCATGCATTTTTCTTTGTACTCCTCACCTTTGCGACATCATAGAGTTTTGAAGCCATCAGTTTCAAAAACATTTAATTTTGGTCTCACCACTCTAGAGAACAGGGTCCCAGTAGTCTTCTTTTTCTGCATGGGCTTTAGGAGAGGCTTCCTTCATGGATGACACCCATGTATGCCATTCCGCTGCAGGGTATGCCGTATTGTGTCATGGGAGACAATCACCCCAGTTTGGCTATTTCTTTATCTAACTGCAGTGAACTTGTATGGCCGTAGACAGCCTGGACATCTCTGTGAGATGGTTGCAGTTTTATCATTGTTACATTTTTTATCACTTTTGCTACAGTATTCTGACTGATGAGTAAAGCTTTGCTGATCTTATTGTAGCTTTCACCTTTCTTGTGTAAAGAAATTATTTTCTTTCTCAGGCCTGGTGACATTTCTCTTCCATGTGGTGACATTGATGACAGCATGAAATGGGAAGGGATTTTCTTTGTTAAGTAACACCCTTTTATAATTAACTGTCTGCTGGACACATGTTTATTGAGAATTCAACTACAGGTGAGTCTAATTATTCATTAATTAGGATTTTGTTGTCTAAAATTTAGCTTGGTTCCTAAGACTTTCACTGAGGTGTATTCATTTTTGCAACATGGTCTTGAATGAATTTGTTAGAAAAAATACCTTTTTTGTGTGTGCAAATTAACAAATCTTGTTTGCAATCAATGGTCCCCATTAGTGGGAGTATTTTGTAGTATAGTGTGCCATAGAAAATGTTGATTCTGAAAGTAAAGTAAAGGTTTTCTAACAAATATGTTGTGTTGTACTCATTTATGTTGATTTATTTTTTTAAGCTTTATTTGCACTGTTAAGCAAAGGGTAAAAAGATACCGAGAGCGTTTTTCCCACATGCGCACAACGAGTGCAACCAGGGAAGTCTAAAAACATACAGATGTGCCAATGGGCTCTGCCTGGACCTGAAGGCTGGGCCATGCCCATGGGTACACCTCCACTAAACGCCATATTGGTGGTGCCTGAGGGGTTGGAGCTACCTTGGAGGCAGACTTCGCTTCTGGCAAAGTTCTGCTTTAACTCATCCCCTCTATTTGTCCTAGTGACCACTATTAACTAGACAGAATTTATAGAATATGCAAAATGTTTCAGTCAGTGAAATAGGAGGTGAGGGTAAAACTTACACAGGAGTTTCTAAAAGTGTATCTAAAGCCAGTTTTGGATAAAGAGTTAAAACCTCTGTTAGGCTTCAGTTGTTGCCTTTGACTCTGCTGGCAAGATAACCTTTTGTTGGCCCTGATGACCATTGTCACCAGTAAAGAAAGTGCTAGGAAATTTACAATTTTACAGTTGTCACTAGAATAGGAATATGTGAGAAGTCTTCCAATGGGGACAACAGTTCTGGCGACTACTGTCTGAAATGATAGTACTCCTCCCTGTGAACAGTTTTGTTTTCGGGCCAATGCTAGGGCCTGGAAGAAACCAACTATTCAGATTGCGGAGATGAGGAATATTATGACCACCCTCATGATTCATGAAAAAAATGTCGAGTATCCTTAATGATTCTCATCCTCGGTTCCTGAAAATTTGGAGCCCTTGGTGGTCTTACGCTCACCCTTCACTTCCTGAATACCGTTTGGGTTCGGACCAATTTTAAGTGGGGTCCTTGCACTCGGGTTCTCTTAATACGGTTTCTTTCTTTTTGATCTTCTCTTTCTTCCTTTTCCTAACTGTGCTTATTTCCTCCTCGCTCCTCT